TACAGTAAAAAGTAAGGCAGGGGGTGTCAATGTCAGGGTATTGCAGATCACCCCTATTATATAATATGCCAATTTCCCTGTCATTTAGTCATTTGAATAGGGCAGTGTGTTCTCCTTATGCAACAGAAAGGGACTTAGTCCATGTTCCTGTATGTTAGGTGAGTCAATTGTACAATAGAATACATATCAAATCAAATCTAATGAGTATACACGTGTGTATGTAACATGTACATGTAAGCTATAAAGCTCAAACAAATCTGTTGAAGGTGGGCATGGCAGCTGTCAGGGGTTGAAAAACTTATTGCTTGTTTCAACTCTATTTTGTTCAGAGAATTTTGAAATGAACGAATCAAAAGGTTATGTAAGCATCTTATAGTCTAGTCGTATATATATATATATATACAGTAATCCCTTTGTATTATAGAAGATAGTGAGTGCCAAAGTCGAGAATTTTCATAGCTTGTTGGTCACGTGACAATACAATCTGAAGTTTTAAGTAGTTTTAAAGGTTTATTTTAAAATAAAAACTTAAAACTTGGATAAAATAAAACCTTGATTCATAACGCATATTATAATATTAATTGCATTCACATACATTGATAGTAAAGGTGTTTGATTAAATTTTGAATGTAACACAGTAACTTGCTCAGAAAAGTGTTTAAAGGGGCTTCTGTTGCGAAAGAGTAGTGCAGTTCATGTTATAATGTGTTGGAAATATCTCAAGGGTAGTAGCCTATGCAAAATCTCAAAGGCAGATGTGTAAGGAATAGCTAATGTGTGCAAGGAGGTAAGTGTCTATCGAAAATACATTTTCAGGTAATGAAATGTTATACATTCTATTGAGAAATATTTTTACCAAACTACTATCTTATTCATATTCTGCTGAGTTGGTCTGATGCTGTTTCCACACATTTTATATTACTTTCTTTTACTTGTTTTTCTCTAGAGGTTCCCTGGGGTGCCTCAGCATAATCAGGCTTCTGAATTGTGTGGGAGGTATGTCATGGGACTATTGAAGGATATGACTAGATTTAACCACAATAGCCACTAGGAATATGCTACTGTCCAATAGCCTTCTTGAACTTGACATGTCCTGATCTTTTACCTTATTTTATCTAGTCATTTATCCAACAAGTGTTAGAGTATAATTTAAATTTTATTTATTTTGAGAAACCACTGGTATGTTTTACAAATGTTTATGATTATTTTTTATTTTCATCCAACAGACTGTTTTGATACAGAACTTGTACCATAATCCTCAGAACTCGGCTCAGTCAGCAGATGGATCACATTGTAAGTTGATGATCTCAATTTAGTGATATAGTAGGCTAATATTCTGCTAGAGACAAAATAGATTGTGATAATTATACCATTTTTGAAATTTTAGAAGTAGACTAATGGTACCAACAGTTAGCAGGCTTTCAACTAGATTGTTTTAGGGTTAAAAAATGTCTTGCACATTATAGAGGTACAAAACACGTTGGCTTACTAAAACAAATGTTTTCCATTTATTTTTAGTTCTAATTTTGTGCATTAATTTGCATAGATTTTCATTTTTTGTACTTAAAACAAGTAAGCTTTGTTTTATCAAAAAAAATCAAAATGAATCCTGTTCTCATTCCATAGATGCAGGTACCAAATGTTTAGAGTGAATCTCTTTTTCACAAAAATAGTCAATATCACAGCATAAAATATATGTATAAGCTGTGCACATCCTGTTAATTGTCCACTGTAGATATGTATGTAATAATGTAGTTATAATATATAACTTTTGTCTAGACTAATTAGTCTTTATGAATATCAAGATAATCTATCATATGTTTTGTTATGCATATAGTTAAAACTGTACTGAATTTTTATCACAAGTTAATTACTAACTAAGTATAAAAACTTTCCTTTTGGCCAAATGTGGGATAAGATTCAGAAGCCATACTAAAATCAATAGCTATCCCCTCCTTCCATCACAATGATTCAAGTTTTATCAACACAGCCATTGAATGGTGTCTGTGTTGTTAAAACATGAATCATTGTGATGGAGGGAACAGTTGGCTACTGGGCCAGTCAATGGCTGTGTTGTTAAAACATGGATCATTGTGATGGAGGGAACAGTTGGCTACTGCACCATTCAATGGCTGTGTTGATAAAACTTGAATCATTGTGATGGAGGGAACAGTTGGCTACTGCCATTGACTGGCCCAGTAGCCAACCATTCCATCTATAATAATGATTCATGTTTTAACAATGTAGCCACTGACTGGAGTCTGCTCAAAACAAGTAGTAGCTTGTGTTACTAGGACAAACTGTATTATATGATATGAAGATCAATTATATAGAACATAGTTGCCAGGTATATTAAAGTCAGTTGGGGCATATATTGTGAGGACTGGTCCAATGAATTCTGTGAGACCCCTTCTTTAAAAAGCAAATTATGATGGTTTTATTATAACTCATTCAGAACAAAACATGCTTTGTTGAGTTAGACTAGATTCAAATCAGTATATTGCTTTAGTTCTGAAAGCTTTACATCTACTCCTTAAAGGATTGTCTGATTTTCCCTCCAGATGCTGTTCAGCATTAAAGAGCATAGACTTTCAAAGCCTCATGCATGTGGTGCTTATAGATTTACTTGAATCAATGTGCAATGTTAAGCTGTATGTTTCCAATTGTTTAATGTCAACAGTCGTAAATCCCCATATTTATTTTATAATGATATTTGCAACCTTGCAAATTGTTATCACAGTGTGTGGTGACACATGCTTGTCGAATAATTTTTTGTGATTAAGATATCCCATACGCTTTACATTAAGAAATCAAAACAGATTTCTCCTTCTGTATAACTTTGAAAGCCAGAAATATAGTAAAATGCTGTAAAGGTATTTATAAGTCATAAAATTTTACCAAGAATTAAATATAACATTTAAACATGTAATCATCTTTACAATTAAGATAATAAAGTCTAAAATTAGCACACTATTTTCATAATGCAATAACACATTAAATATCTCTTGCTAGCTGAACTAAATAAAATAGCTCTGATCAGTACTTTTAGAGGAGTATACAATATGTACACCATTGGTACCTTCTGGTTAAACCAACTAACCTACATAGATAAGAACTTAAGATTAACAAAGCAGTGAATATAACTAAATTATTATTGTGTTTTTACTAGGAAAATAGAAAGTCATAAAACAAAACACTTACAATAATAAGAATGCATTGATTCATCATTTGGATACTTTCTCTGGAAACAATTATTTTGTCTGTAAATCCAGTAATATCTCGAGGCTCGGCCACTTAAAAACATATTTTCTATTACATATTATTTATTACTTTTTGTACTGTTAGCCTACTTTTTGGAATTAGGACTAAGTTAAGTCTCCCAAAAATATGTATACAATCACTACTTTTGATAGAACTAATATTAAAAGAAAGAATAAAATATGACTTCTTACAAAACACATAAAAAGTAGTTGTTTAATTCATACAACTGATTTCTTGTCCCATGAAAAATGTGACACTAGTATACACAATATGTGCATCAGTCCATCACATTTGAAAAATGCATAAGGGCTGTAAATGGCCCCTGCCAAACAGCACACAGAGGCTGTTAGCAGGCTCATGCTGTATCTTGATTCTTTGTTTATAAAATTGAACAATAAACGTTAATTTGTATTGACTCAGTTGTACTATTTGTCTATTAACAAAACAGAGTTCCACTGGCTAAACTGAGACAACCTCTGATCAATATGGCAGCCCTTGCAGCCTCCTGTCATGCAGAAAGTATTTAATCAAATCCATCCTCTTCCTAGCCTGAATGTGCTAATAATTAATATCCAGTTTTGAAATCTAAGCTTTAAATGTTGATTTAGTTCCTCAGCTACAAATATTTGATGTCTATATAGAACAATATAGTTAGAAAATGTTGTATTACTGTGGAAGTAATATTGCTAGTCTAAGCCAATTAAAATTAAAGTATCAGAGTCGTGACTTCCCAACAGGGTTATGGGAAGTTACCCATGAGCTTCTCTGTGTATATAAATAACAGCTGATAGTGTGACCATAACAAATAAAAACAGGATTTGAATTCAAAAGTATTTATTTGTTTGTAAGAAAAAGATGGCAAGTAGTGAGACTAAAATAGCAGGCATCATAACAAACTTGACAGATGCTCTAACAAGCCCTTACAAAACTCATTTTATTTTGTGGCCACTTTTTAGGGCAAGTAGTGAGACTAAAATAGCAGGCATTATAACAGACTTGACAGATGCTCTAACAAGCCCTTACAAAACTCATTTTATTTTGTAGCCACTTTTTAGGGCAAGTAGTGAGACTAAAATAGCAGGCATTATAACAGACTTGACAGATGCTCTAACAAGCCCTTACAAAACTCATTTTATTTTGTAGCCACTTTTTAGGGCAAGTAGTGAGACTAAAATAGCAGGCATTATAACAGACTTGACAGATGCTCTAACAAGCCCTTACAAAACTCATTTTATTTTGTAGCCACTTTTTAGGGCAAGTAGTGAGACTAAAATAGCAGGCATCATAACAGACTTGACAGATGCTCTAACAAGCCCTTA